TCGCGTTTTCAGTGGCGCCAATCGAGTGCCGAAGAAACGCGTGTATCACAATATCGGTTGAAAACCGATGCCGATGCAATGCCGATTTTTCTCCTCCCGGAGTAGAACGTGCAGCGGAATTGCCCCATTATGTTTGTGTAAGTAAACCTGCCCGCCACCCAGTACCTGGGCGATTGTCGATAGCCACGCGACGTATTTCGTCAGATTTTAGGTGCCCTAGCAGCTATGATTCGCCATGGCTTTCGCTACTTGCGATCCCACGCACACCCGTCAGACTTCAAACACTTCCAGCGACCGACTTACACCGATTTTCCATCGATTCCCCTGTTCACCACGCTCCAATGAAATACATATTCATATCGATAGGCCACCATGTATTCTAAAACACAGCGCAGCACTGCATTTAACACTCTTTCCCGTAATTACGCGTTATTACTTTTTGATAATAATAATTTGTTGGCCATTTTCCCACGATTTTATTGACACGCCCACCGAAAAAGATCGTCTAGCCACTGCGCATGAAAATTCCGGCGACAGTTTCATGAGAAAATCAGTGGAATTTTCTGTTTGCGGGAAATCGGTAGGGGAATTGCAGGAGGGAAATTTGTTGGGAAAATTTTGCGCGCTGCCCCATAAACTTTCAAGTGCACTATAGAATTTTTCTGAAGAATTTCTCGCCGTGTAGTTTGTGTCGGGGATAATATAATGAAGATAAAGAATAAGGTGCTTCCATTGTGAGTCGAAAGGATCGGTGGCTTGCCGATCGCACACCAATAACCGTGATCTTCTCCCTGTAATAACTCGTTACACCCATTCAATGATACGATCTCGACAAATAGCAAAATGCCTGTCTACCGTCTCCCATACATACCTGGTTACAATGCCCCTTGCTGCTCTCTCAGTTCCTTCGGGATTGGAGTACTGGTAACAATGTGCGGTTTGTGTGATTACGTAAATAAATACGCAAATGTTGAATTCGTGTGGAAGAGCCAATTGTTCGATGGCCCGAACAGAATTGAACACGGAATAATAAGGAGAGAAAAGTCCAATAAAAATTACCCGAAAAACTCGTAAAATTTATGAAATTTCACCTAAAAATTTTTGAACAATGATTCGTGAAATGCCTGTTAGAGATTAGTTTCCACAAAAATGAGGCACACCCGGAGAGGAATATTCAATAAAGATGACGGATCTTTTCCGTAATTCCAGAGCGACAAGTTGTGAAGGAAACTCGTAACTATTACGGGATCTTCCCAAAACTTTCGGTAATTTTTGTGTGAATTTTCAGTAAAAAATTATAATATTGGCACCTAAATTTTCTTAGTCACTTCCGTAATCGGTAAGTGAACTACCGATCCGTAATTTTTATTGAATATTTCTCTCCCTGTAACTTTTTCCTTCACTTTTGGTGATAGATCCGATAATTAACTGAGCGTGTCAGATTTTTTTCTAATAATTCTGTAGAAATTCACTCTCTAAAATCTAAAATCATCAGCGCAACAAATAGTTGGCGAAATTATTAAAAATTGAATAGTTTATTCAGACGGAGAATGGACCATATAAGAAGACGCAACGCATAAAATCCTATCAACATTTAATTAATTATTTTACCGTAAAGATTTTTCAAAAAAGATTTTTCTAAAACTTGACGGTAATATTTGAAGGTGAATATTGCCGAATTGATGAGGAAATTTAAAGCGGTAAAGAAACAATAAGTTTATGATTGACATTGATTTAAAAATTAATTATCGGAACAAAAAAACGACGTTTCAATTTAATAAAATAGGAACGAGAGTAGGACTTTATAATTACTTCAAAATCACTAGTTTTTTTAATAAAAAAAAGTCTTCGCGCCGAACTGATCGTGAAAAATCGAACAGCCTGAGGCTCTCGAACTATAATATCCGAAAATCTTCCACACACTAATTACGTGATTTGGATTTTGAAATTAAAGACGTCGGTGTATCAAAACGGCAACCGCACATGGGTTATAACTCCTGGGACACGTTATAGTCGCGCGGTAGTTGACGATCGGCACGGAAAGTACAGGCCACAGGCCCACGACTTCCGTCACCTGTCCTTACAAAAATGCCGGCACATTGGGTACCAGAAAAATCTTGGTGAGTAATTAACCCCGAATCATCGGCCAAGCCTTTCGAATTCATATTTCAAATGTCCCCGAGACAGGGCGAGGAATCGAAAAATCGGCGAGTTCTCTTCCACCGCCGACTGCATGGAATCGGATGAGCCGTCCTTTGAGTTTGTTACACTCCGTGGCTACCCGGGGATAGTACAACGTTGGTAAAAGGCAAAAGAATACAACGAAGGTGCTTGATTTAGTGATATGCGGTACTGGGCGCCTTATGCCATACCGGTAAAGACCCACAACTCTCAGCGTTATAGTGGAGTCTCAGGAGTGATTCATTTCGCGGTAATTACCTACCGGTCCGCCAGTCAAGATTAGTTGTCCGACTAATGTGTCGGGTGAGAGAGAGACGAGGCATAAAAGGGAGATGAGATGGGTTATACGTGAGATTTGTGGGTCTGCGTCGAGCGACGTATAATTCAAGAGCCCGGGTGGGTGCCCACTGTCCGCTCCGCTATTATATCCATTAAGGCAAAAATTCCCTCAGTCAGTCCGCTAACTATTTCTTCACCCTTTTTTCAACCGCGCGCCCACAGATTTTTCTCACTATTTTCCGATTTACCTACGGGACATTTTCTAACCGCACGCAAAATTATATGTGCGGGAAATATATGTTGAAATGCATTCGAAATGTATGTGAATTATATATTGCATTGATACGCTAATATATGCAACATATGTTTTAGGAATATTTTCGATATGTCATTTTTGACCGGATCCATGTATACATTTATATAGAGATCATATATGTCTATTTTTTTATGAGACAAATTTCTCCCCAGAAAGTCACTGAAATATGTTGAGTATATTTTCAATCATAATTATCCGAGTATTCATAGTTAACTTATAATTATAGGCTTTCGCATATTTTTCAGATATATTCCACGTATACATGAAGAGGAATATTGAATAAAAATTACTTTCCGAAAAATTTTTTCCGGAAAAATTTTACGGAACTGGCACGCAATTTTTCTCTAAAGTCACGGAATTTTTCTGAAAAATTACGATACCGTCACTCAAATTTTTCGAGTCGATTCCGTAATGGATAAGCGAATTGAAAGTTCCGTAATTTTTACTAAATATTGCTCTCCGTGTATCTGCATTACTTCATGAAGTATATTTTCGTTATTTTCATAGATATATGAGTCATAAATATAAGAAATAATCGGTATCTAATCCACATATACCAGAGATAGACGCCAATTATGTCATTTTTAGCCGAGATACATGGGCTAGGATTTACGTATATATATATATATATATATATATATTATAGAAGTCAGTATATAATTTTTTCCCGTGCGGGTGGTGCCATTTTTCTAAGGCAGATGAAATTATTAGGTTTATCGTACAGCAGCTTATAATAAGGATTGAGATTATATTTTGTTATTATATAAATATAAATATAATATAAATGATTCATTCAATATATTCATGAAACTAAAAATTTCAAGATCTCTAGCTGAGAATGAAATGGAAGCTCCATTGGACGCTGACATCTTGAAAAGTTGCCAAAAAAAGCGAATCCACTGAGAAGGTGAAATTTGTCCAGGAAATAACGCAAAAAAATAAGTACATTATTGCTTTTGTCAATGCAGAAACAACTCTTCCCTGAGTCGATACGTCTTCGTATATAGTCAAACATTATAGTCCTCCACTCACTTATTCTCCAATATTTATCGCATACACTTCAACGCAAATGCGAATGTCTTCCTGGGTCCGTGGGAGTCGATAGTTTCCATGTAGCCCATTGTACATCCACCTATACCGTGTATCTATGTTTCAGGGAGAATGTCAATTCGTGATGTCGATGAATGGAGAAAGAATGATCCATCAAAATTGAAGAATGCCGAGTGTATTGTTTATCCATTCGCCTTGTTGTTCATTGTCGGGGGATGAGTTGTCATAATTTTTAGTGGATGGCTCGTGTTGTGCTGCAGGTATCATTCATCAAGTTAATTTGGCACCATTTGAGCTTTCTTATCCAGTTCGAGTTGCTCTGCTAATGGTGGCAATTCAGATCGTCATGGGTGGAAATTTCATGTGCAATGCAGTCAACTGTCATCCCCAGTCGACGTTTTGCCACGTGGCGATTGTTACGGTGGCACGAGCCTGCACCATTAAAATTACCATTATTCAATGAATCGGACTTGCTCGCCGCATCGCAACTAGATAAAGATCGCAAACTTAAAGTGATATATAGAAAAAATATATACTTGATTCAACTATATATGTTATACTTCAAATCAGCATCCTTTATACTTGACTTTAGTCTATTGCGTCCTCTAAGTGATATTGATAGAAAATATTTTTAATCATTTAGAGGATAAACAAATTGATCGACTTATAGTAAAAACATTACTGCAGTTACGACGATAATTTCTCTTGTGGTAGACATTGAATTTCATTTCGGTGGAAGAAAGTCGTGAAACTCCATATTTAACTGAAAATTCGATTTTTAATTTCACTGGATTATCCATTAAAGCGGCACCTTTGAACTACAAAAATAATATCTCCTTGAAATTATTTTTATCAATAATACTAATGCCTTTACTGAGCTCCGAGTTCATTTTAAATCCATTAAGATTTTCTTTTTTATTATTTCATGTTTTTTGTGTGACTACAAAATGCTTGATGATTAGAAAATTTGAGAATAATCGTAATTGAATAGTTATGTTAGATCCACTATTGCGATACTCATTGATTGTAGACCTAGTTTATCATTAAATTTTGCTCCGGCATAAGATACAGCTACAGACTCGAATCGTCTTTGTCAACACTGTTATCGGTTGGGAAAAAATTGATACCGCGCTATAAAAATCCAAAAGGTTTTTGATCCTCTAATAGTCTCGCAATGTTGGCCAAGTATATCGCACTAGCCTTGCTGCTCACTCACAGTGAGTAATCAATTTTAAATCGAAAGGTGTCTCTGTTTCCATCAAAACATATTACGTATCTAAAAACTAAACGTCGGATCTACAATTTTGTTTTTTTCGTTCGTGATATCTGAGTTTCCACGTAAAAATTAAAAGTTTTGATTTCTATCTCTTACAGAGTTGTGAAAGAAATAATAATAACCATACCAATAATAATAATATTTTGTAAGCCTTTCTTTTTAATGGCGTTCTACACCCATATATAGCAAAATTAACGTTTTTTCATTTTTCTGGCAAACTTACTATGGGATTGACGTGAAAAAAATATAACGTTTTTGCATTTCGTCAGTATTTAATGACCTACGAAGTTTCAATATGACGTCATCATTTTTCAGCGTTTTTTCTGAAATTTTAAAAAGAATCAGGAAACTGTCGAGAAAATACATGAAAATGATCACTTGACCACAAAAAGTTGTGAGCCATTAAATACTTACAAAACATCAAAACGTTATATTTTTTTACATTAATTCTATCTATAATTTGCTAAAAACTCTACAGAACGTGAATTTGGGTTATATATGGGTGAGGAACATCCATAAGTTATTGTTTGTAGTTTCAATTTTGGCTTGCAGCATAGAAAAAGAGATGAAAGACAAGAAATATAATCATTACAAACTTTGGCTGTTAGACTCGTAAAGATTATCATTTAAATAATTTTTTCAGCTTGTCATGCAATCACACATGGCGATGAAGTCCGCCCACACCAGTACCCGCATCAAGTCGCTATTTACACCGAATGTCCACTGCTGGGTATCCGAAATCTAGTCTGCGGTGGAGTTATTCTAAATCGTAATTGGATCCTGACATCTGCCCAGTGCATCTATTTGTTTAAAAACTTGATCGTCAAGGCTGGGAAGCACGAGCTTTCCGTGACGGACCCGATGCAAGAAATTCGCACTGTGAAATATAATTACAAGCATCCGCAATATAAACGGTAAGTGAAACAAGAATCAAAATTTCATGATATTTCCATCGTTAATGATACTATGGCACTCGATATACTGCCAATTCATTAACATTGCTCGCGAATATTATTTATAAATAATCCGGAGATATGCTTGTGTTATCCATGATGTTCCCAAGGATGAGAAATTCTTGTATTAAATAACAATTGGTTCCTCAATAAAAAAAAATATCTTAATGGATAAAATCTCAATCGCTATCTCGACTAATCCACCAAATCTTATCTGTCTTGATTTCAAGGCCGGGCTGGTTTCGTGGAATCAGCAAAAACGATATCGCTCTCTTGAAGCTGAATAAGCCCCTGATTTTCAACGAGCATATTCAACCGATAGCACTTCCAACACCAGGAGCAACTCACACTGGAGTCGGATGGTTGACAGGTTGGGGTGGTGATGGTAGAACCTCAGAAACTCTCGAGGCTGCTGAGGTGTCCTTCCTGGATGTTAACAATTGCACACGACTCGTCAAGAAACGAATCACTAACGATCAGATTTGTAGTGGAGTCATCGGAGGAGTCGTCTCCGCCTGTTCTAAGGACCTCGGAGGACCCGTTATCCAATATCGGCCAAATACCTCTCCACAACTTGTTGGAATCGTCTCCTGGACTGACCATTCGTGTCGCAAAGGTGTTCCAACAGTTTACACTAAGGTCTCTGCTTATGTTGGTTGGATCCAGAAAACCTTTAACAAGTTTTAAATTCATGTTAAAAAGCAGTTGAACGATGTCATAACGTTTGTGTAATTCATCTATTATTGCACATTTGATTCTCATTAATTCCATCATTACAGAAATTGAAAACTGAGAATTCAAGGATCGAACAAAATATAGATCGTCTTGGGACTTTGGAACACGTGATAGTTTCACGAAAATTCAATTTTTCCAAGAATTTAATGTTTTTTATGAACCAAAGGTGTAATACACATGTCAGTTTTAGTTTTTCAGATAATCGCGGTTTTTCTATTTTCTTCCCAGTTGTTCAATTTTTTGTATAACTTCATGGCTAAGTTTCGGGGCATCCCCGTCAAATCGTAGATGTCATGATTTTATCTTTATTTTCATTTATTTGAAAAAAAATTGAAAAAGACCCGCGTTTTCATTCTGGCGTAGAACTTAAGAACTTATGTGTCTTATGGTGGTTTACTGCATTCAGATGCAGTGATGGATGCACACGAATGAGTACTAAGTACCTAATGAATTGGATATTGAAACGAATAATCAAGTGTCATTTGGACGGCCACATTTAATGATTTCATTGTAAATATAAACGATTTGTCCGCTACTTAACGTCGATAAATATAGCCTCGCAGTATCGACAATTGAATCTGTTTCAACTCCATTACAATGATGCCCACTTTTCGGAATTTATGGATCTTATATGCCACCTCGAATATAGGCGGTTTGTGAGTGGTGTGAAGTTTGCAGCACGAAAAAATTTCCGCTGTTGCGACATATTTTTTTCGAACTAGTAAAACTCACAGAGTTTTAGATGAAAACATGAACAATAAATAAATAAATAAATAAATAAACCAATGGCACATCCCGTAAAAATTTCTTAATTTTTCATAAATTTTACGAGACTTTTACGAGAAATTTTATCTTAACTTCATTGAAGATTCTGCCATACGCTTATGTCATGCAATTTCAGCTCATTAAGAAAGCTAATTTCATAAGTTTGGAAATAGTACAGCGTATGTAGTCCTTGAACTAAAGAATAAAGAGCTTTGAAAACTCAAAGTCTCACGTGAGTTGGAAAAATCGATAATTGTTCGGTAGCAAATTTACTATCTTTTTGTTTATTTTTCAAGGTATGACGAGATGTGTGGTTTCGAAGAATATTTCAGTTGTTTTATTCTTTCATTTTCTGGACGGTGATGAATATGTTATCGCACACTTTATACAATTTCCACAAAAAAGAATGAAATGTAAAACTAGGACGATTTGAATGCTCCCATTCAAAAGCACCTCTTCCACCAGAGTTTCCAATGTGAATCGCCAAATGCATGCAGTGTTACTTTAATTTCCATTTTACATTGTTACATTTTCAAAGTAAATTACCACCATGTATTAACGAGTCTTCATAAATAAATCCAGTGTTCAGATGCCCTTGATGCATCATTCCAGTTCATTGCATCGCGAATCCAGCTTCCGTAGGTATAAACATCTGTGAAGACCTGGGGCTGTCTGGTTGCAAGATTAACCTCGTGACCCCAGGAAGCAACACCTATGACTTTACCGTTGTGAATCAGAGGACTGCCACTATCACCCTGAAATGGGAAACTAGTAAAAGAGAACTCTCAACTAATCGACATTAGAGCAAAGCATGAACATTCACTGAGAAAAAATAATTGTAGCAGACTAGAATCATTTGATTCAAACGCGTACATTTCCTTTAAAATGAAGGCTTAGTCTTGAAATGTTAGACTTCAAATCAAGTCGGTCAAATCAACACTAGACTTATCGACGATACCGAAGTTTACATTTCAAGTACTGGGTTTCTTGAAGTGAATCGGAAGTTTACATTTGACATCAATATTTACTTGCTACAAGTTCGCTAGAAATTACTTCAAGCCATTCAGATCTTGTTTCACGTTGACAAATTTCAAGAGCAATTATTAATTGGAATATTTACAATGGACAGTCCCTGACCGACTGAGCTTCTCGTACATAGGTGACTGGTGTGAAGCCTATCAATCACATACTGTCTGCATTCAGCCAAACTGATAGTCGTTGTTTGTAGCTTGTACATCCACCTTGGTGGCTCTGGAAGGCCCTGATTGGTATTCCCAAAACCACAGATCTCCGCGGTTGTGTTAACCTGGGGTACACTATTTGGTAGACTGACTGTCTGCAGCCTAGTCCTCAGAGCCTCCAAAGGGAGCTCTCTATCTAGCTACAAAATATTGTTCATACAACTCCCGCTCTGATACATATTCGAATATTTAATTGGTTGTGAAATGGAGATCTAATCCGTACCTTCAAAACAGCAATGTCAGCTAAATTATGTATATTGTTGTGCGTGCCCTGCTTGTAGTCTTTGTGAATAATAGCTTTGGACACTTGAAATACATTGTTCTCTCTGTAATACCAATTTCTGGTGTTAATGATGACCTCAATGCCCCATGCGGTATCTTCATTGTGCTTGACACAATGGGCTGCAGTCAAAATATGAGTTTTGTCCAGTACAGTTCCACCACAAATAATGCCCCTTAGACTGACTCCAACAGTGTATGGACACATCTCTGGTCCAGCGAACGTTCCACCTATGATTCTTTGCGGAGTTCTTGCATATACCACTAACAACAATTTGGATATTCATTGATAGCTTTCCAGAGGAACACAATAGAGAGAGTAGGGATTATCATTAATTAATTATTTCTGAATCAACCATTATTGGAAAATTCTTCAATAATAATAATAATTTATAAATTCTAATCTTAAATAATAGAATTGTTGCAAGAAGAGCGGCGGTGTGTTTACGTGGGTATTATCCATCGACAGTGGCTAAGCACTCGGATTAATATTCTGTGGTGAGGAGAACTGCTCAGGTACGATTGATAAGAATTAATACCACTTTATATTGTCCCTTATCTTGAATTGTACGAACGGTATATAAATCCCCCGGGATCTTGTGAACTAATTGTTTCCCCCCAAATAACTGTCTCCAGATTCGGAATCAGGAGAAAAAAAACTGTTGACTTCGTTAGAAATTAGGGACATCGCTTTGGTGGGTCAGTTCTAGACATTTACTGGATTATCATGCAGTGATAAAAAAAATGATGATTTTTTCATAACTCACCAGAAAGGCAAACCGCCAGGCATAGTGTCAAAAAATGATTCCGCTTGGCTTCCATTATGATGTCTAATTACGTCAGTTTCTATGTAATTCTTATATAGTCTGGCAAACAATGATAGCCTTGATATGGGGTCTCGATGTGTGTTCTTTGCTTTTACGTCATTCGGACTAATTTATGCGATGTAAATACCGAACATGTGATAAAAAAAAACTATTAAAATAGATATTTGTCAAATTGTGTATTCAGATATGGCAATATAGCTTCAAAAATTCTGAATTATTACGAAAAACTGCTAGACAATCATGAGTAGTCAGTATTTTAATCATTATAGTTTCCACGAGTTTATATATGAAATTGATATATTATATTATTCGCCACTCTTAACTTCATTCTGTGTAATAAATTATCTTCATTATAGTAAAATTGTTTTTAAGAGCTTTCAAATGCGTTGAATTTTGATCGATTTGATCGATTATTATTTTGGGCCGGAGATTTTGATAAATAGAAATCGAATTTGGAATTAAGAATTTATTTTCCAATAATTATAATAACAATAATAATAAACACACCTGCAAAAATTGCAAAAAATTGCGATGACCTTGCTACTGGTGAGTTTCGCGAGAACAGTCCAGTCCCCAGGAAACGATTCCGGTAGTTCCATCTCCGCGAACCAGAGGAGCACCATGATCACCCAGAAATCAAACTATCGATGATGAAGAAGAGTCATCAGTTAGCCTTGAAACAAGAGATGGAAATTGGATCGATTGGTCGAGAATTACTTGTTCCTTATCTTCCTCATGTCTTCCAAGTTGCTCAGAAATTTCAGCAGGTTCAGGATAACATACGGAGAAATAGTGTAGAGAATCTTCGCATTCTCGATAGTTTGAAAAATCACTCACTCCTGATCCCGACGTCTTGATGCATCCTGGTATAGGATTTCTGGTACGAGGCAATGTCTATAATAATGTAAAGTATTGTTTGGTGTGTGTACCTGATGTTGAGCTGCTATATGCCCGCATTTCATTTGATTCTCATAAACTTTTCGCACAAAATTCATTCACTACAATTTTTCTGGCATAACTAACAAATTCCATGCGAATGTGAATGAGGAAAATTGTGTACGAGATTATCAATGTCACATTAGAGATAACTATATAATATCGAAAGATGAAAAAAAAACGATTTGTCAATCTTCAGAAAACACGTAATAATCAAAAACCGAGAAATTACACCGAAGGGAAAAACTTGGATAAATTTGACAAATGTCAAAAATAGCATTACAATACTTGAAAAGCTAAAGAAAATACTTGAATAGATAGGAAAATTCTTAGTTGATTAATTAATTATGTAAATACGAATACTTCCATGCATTATGAAGAAATTTATTGTTCGATTAATTTACATATATTGCCACATTTACCTGAATGTGTGAAGCGCATCGGACCACTCTGGATATACTCCTGTTATATTCATGAAGATATGAATTCCCTAATTCTTAAGATAATCCAGGGTACAACATTGTATCACAGGTTGTAAATTCTCATATGCAATTTCTCACATTTAGTAAAAAAAATTGTTGGAGGGTGATCAGACCAGGGTGACCAGACGGCGATTTTTGCCAAAACTTTTTAATAATTTTTCCAGAGTAGGGTAGATCATAATAAGCTCTGAATGAAATATCAACTATGTGGTTCGAAAAATGTCAATTCTTCGCGTGATTGACTTCACTCGATTAACTGTGACTGTAAAAAATCAAAAAAACATTTTGAAAAAACCGCCGTCTGGCAACTCTGGTTGGAGCTGCGTGCTGGACCTTTACGTGACTTTGCTCTCCAACGAAAGTGACAAGTTGAACTCAATGAATACTGTGGAATAAGTCATTATACTGTTGGCACTTATTCACCATTGAGCAGAACCGAACACTTAATATGACGGGCTTTAAAAAATGTAATTAAAGATGGGGCAACTTTACAAAAATATGACCGCATTCTGAAAAATGGGGTGCTATAGGTATCAGCACATTAGACTCGATCGCTAATTTGTAAAACGCTAAACACTAATTTGTAAAACACAATGCTCTAAAAATTTGAAAAAAATCCTAAAATTTTGAAACAATTGGATTATTTGTTTAAAAATCATGAAAATTTATATCGTTAATGGAATTAATTGTTTTCAAAATGTTGATCGTATACGTCCAGAGCGACTTTATTCAAATCCAATGGGAATTTTAATCCGTCATGATGTTGTGATGGTTTTCAATAACCATTTCTTCATAACTAAAATCAATTTTAGAGAAAAGTCACGTTCGTCACACACAAATCCTATATGAAACGTCAGGGACGGAAGTGGAAACAAAAATTTATTTTCCTATTTTTCCAGGATCGGATGATTTCATTATAGTCCGCGACATCAAAAAGTGGATGCTATGATTGGCTGAGAAAAAAAAATGGATTTTACAAAAACGTCTCTGTCCTTGCCTAAAAATTGGAGATCAGGCAGTGGTAAAAATGACTGCCCATATTTTTGCCTCGTACCCTCAACTATAACTGCCGTACTATCCTTCCATGACTAATTCCGGAAAAATGATAATTAATGATCCGGAACCTCTCCATAACATAAGCATCCCATTAAAAGTACCATCTCATAACAAAAAATAAAATATTACCCACTAATTCCGTAAATGAACAAATTACCCAGTGCGAAAAATGTAATTTTAATTAGTGAAGTGGCTATCTTGTTAGCCGATGTAATAGAATCCAATAGGCGATAAAGTGGCTGCAACACGTTCGATGCATTAACCCCTCGAGTAGTTCGATTTCTTCGTTACATGAGTTCGATAAATATAAACCCATGGCGGCTTCACTGCACTAACGAGCTGAATTAATTTATGTCCATTGAAATAGTACCAGTGTGTGGGGCTCAACCCGCTTTTCACTGACTCGTAATAGCGAGACACATACCAGAACAATTTGAACATGTACATACGTACAAGACATGTACTTGATACTCGAGGATTTATTATTTATCACAGGGGGACTAAATTTTCGGAGTGTGGGATGAAGAGGAGTTCCCACAGGTCCACTTGCATTTCACATAGACTGTCATATACCATATTGACGCTGTTGACAATACCATGGGGGATGCAGCAACACCCCCGTCGCCCAGAGAGAGGGTGAGACACCCCCATTGATGGCTGGGAAACCATGACCACCATGTCATTACTGGTTCCCATGAGTCCTGATCAGGGTATTGTTGATCCACTCCCGGTGGACCCTCTGCATCACCGGGGGTACGTTGTATTATGTAATTGTTCGAGTGCGGCATTTGGTTGGCCTCGTATTTTTTATGATGAGTACTTCAATCCATGAGAGAGCAAATAGCAGGTCTCGTGGGACTTCATTTTTATGCTGGCTGCCTTTTTTTTGGCTAATGTTCAATTAGAATGGGCGGATGCTTCATACAGACGACGGATAACATCATTTTAATAAATCAATTGACAGTTATTATATCGAGATCAATTTTTATGGATGATAAAACATTTTTAAGCGGCGGTTATTTCAAAATTTCAGATATTTAGAGTCAATCTGATCGAACATCTTATTGCGGAGGTGAAATACACTTTAAATTAAATAAATTAATATAATAAATAATAATAAATTAATATAATAAATAATAATAAATTAATATAATAAATTAATAAAATAAATTAATAAAAATAAAGAATTAATATATTCATATACTTACTTCTATCAACATGTTTTTAAATTAGTACAATCACCACCGTCGAATACCTTTCCGGAATGACATAATAATTATTTATCAGATGGAATGGTGTGATTGATTTTTCAACAACTTAATAAATTTAGTATGAAAAGTCCATTTAATGACGTACATTAGCAATTATTATCAGTAATTTCTGTGCATTATTTACATTTTCTTTCTTTTGGAAAATCCCACTCGACAGTCAATCAATCGACTAATTGCTAAATACTTAATTTATATATTTATGTTTGTTTAAACATAGAAAGTTGTTAAAAATTAGGGGTGGATCAACGGATGTCCATTGTACCCCAAGATTCCCCACATATTTTTATATACTAGCCTATATGGCGCGCTACGCGCACCCTTCTTACGCATATGGGTGTTATCGTATATTTTAAAAAAATTCCAGTAATCAACATATTCATATACACATATATATATATATATATATATATCCCGAAATCCCGCTTCATAGACCTTCATAACACTTGTGTCAATATTCGAATCATAGAAGGCGAATGTGAGCACTAATGAAAATGTTATTCGTCATAATTCTTATCGGGTTTATGTGATTGTTCACATATCTACATATTTCAAGGTAATGTCAACTTCTACGATAGTATATAAACCTGGAGTCTGATCAGCATTTTACATTCAGTATAAAAAAAAATTTTCGAAATGAAGACCTCGGTGATTTTTGTTGGTCTGATTTGTGTCTTCATGTCTTCTCTGATTGAGGCACATTCTAACTATAGTGACTTGTTTGAGTACTGCAATGAAGGTGCTGATTCGTACACACAAAACTGCCAGCCTTGGAATTCGTCAGCCATAGCTGTGGTCAATAAAATACGTTACCACACTATGCAGCTCATTAGAACGATGCCGCCGCTATACAAGCTGAGTTTCACAGAAGATTACTCCAAGGAATTCAGGAAGTTGAATTTAACAGAAGGGGTATACAGTGGTCTCACAGATCTACACGAGGTCACATTTAACAATATCAACATTGACGGGGCATCGGGTCCTTTCATCAATAGCAGTTCTATTCACTACGCTTTCTTCTTCAACAACAGTCTTCAACAATTTCCAAGAGATTTCTTCAAAGGGATAGTAAATCTGCATGACGTTATAATGCGAGACCAAAACATCTTGACATTATCCAAAGATGGGTTATCTGAAATCACGGAAAACCTGTGGATTCTGGAGCTGTCCCGATGTAACGTGACGACTATCGAAGACGAAGCTTTTTCAAAGTTCCATAAATTGTCACAGCTGAATTTAGCCTTTAATTTGTTGACGGAGCTACACCCTGCGATGTTCAGGGGCCTCGGCGAGTTGAGGAGGCTTCAATTACAGGGCAATCAAATAACCACCATAAATTCTCAAACTTTTTCTACCACATTAAAACTGTGTTATTTGTATTTACACAACAATAAGCAGTTTGAATCTCTATCCGATAAAACTTTCAAATATCTTAAGTTTTTGACAGATGTGACATTGAGTGGAAATTTCACGGAGGATAAGTGTATGACTCTTTTCGAGGGTATCTCTACACTGAGGTTTTCACCTTGCTATGATGTAGACAAAAATTCTCTTTACCTTCTAAACTTGATGCGTAGTAACGTAGCCACCTAATTCACGGCCGTTCCTGTGTCCTTTTGGAAAAATCTTCCGGGCATAGCAACAGAAATTGAAAAATTTCCTTTCTCCAAAAAATTTGAAATTTTATTTGTTTTAATCCACGTCGTCAAAAAAATGGTTAAAAAATTGTAAATTCAAACTAGATATGATAAAAATAATTGGTATCGTCAATAAACAAGTTACAGCAAATGGAATTATTTACTTGATCGTATTTTTCAGTGACATCATTTCCCAGAAATCGAAATGAACATTTGCTTATGCAAGAAAAAATATTGGATGGATTATCGAGATACGCGGTAGCGTATCGGCCAAGTAAAAGTTTCGTCTCTATCCAACAAATAAGGCCGAGAGCTACGGTGTATCTATACACGACACAACTACCCCTTCCACTACCTCCTAATCGTATTCAATCCATAAAATACAAACGCTACAAGTTACATGAAATCTGTGCATAGTTACATTATACAAATCGCCCTCAAGCTTTTCATCGATATAAGTTTCCCCTTTTTTCGATTAATATTGGCAAAAATACGCCCATGGCAACGGGCTCATTTCAATATTTTACCAATTTCTATTATCTTTCGGTTACATTGAAATCACTAAGTTGGCAGCAGGTCTATCCAACCTAACCTGGGCCAAATTTGGCGTTGAGATGTTGCCATCAGTGTATTTAAACCGTTGAATCGCAAAAGTGAAACAGAGGAGAATGTTTTATTTTTTCCCTTGGATTTTATATTTTTTATCTATTTCCATAATTATAATTGTTAACTAGAATATGTTAAATTATATGCAAATGAAATATGAAAATTATATGCAGTTCTTGAAAAATCCGTGAAATCTCCCGAAAGGACAAAAACTGGTGTTTTTGTAAAAAAAACTCAGCCAAGTAAAAGTTTCGCACAATTGATTCCGTGAAAAACTCGTGTTTTGCCAAAATATGGCATTCCAAGATATTAAAGAAACTCAGAAAATGTAAATGAAAATGCCAAGAAAAGTTATACGAGTCGATAGAATGGATTCAATAATGAGAATAAAAAAATCAGTAGAGACAGGACCAACTTACTTGGCACGGTTTTATTTACAGGATAATGCTAAAATGCAATTTGATTAATAACTAAAAGTGACTGAAGATAATCTTTGGCTCTAGCTCTAGTTCTTGGGAAAAACCGCGCCAAGTAAGTTGGTCCTGTCTCTACTGATTTTTTTATTCTCATTATTGAATCCATTCTATCGACTCGTATAACTTTTCTTGGCATTTTCATTTACATTTTCTGAGTTTCTTTAATATCTTGGAATGCCATATTTTGGCAAAACACGAGTTTTTCACGGAATCAATTGTGCGAAACTTTTACTTGGCTGAGTTTTTTTTACAAAAAAACCAGTTTTTGTCCTTTTTATTTATTACGGAAAGAACTTTTTCTCTCGTACACACTTGAAGATATTTTTTTCTTAATTTACGTGATTATTATCTTTATTCTATCCTTGAGCTATGCTTTTCGTATGATAAGATCACAAAATTACAGAAATAGTTTACCAAACTTTTAAAAATTAATTTATAATTATTCCATTCATTTTTTGTTGAAAAAATCCACCATCAAACCCCTCACGCAATAAAAATATTTAAGGTTTAAGTTATAAGTATTTATATATTAAGTTATAAGTATTTATTCTAATAAAAAAAATACATACATATATTTTGATATGCATAGCTTAGCTATGCGCCTAAAAAAGCTGAGAAAAAACATTACATGCTTTTTTTTTAAAAGGGATTATTCTATGAGCTAGTTCAGCTTTTATATTATATACATTTCACGTATTTTTGTTCATGACAGTAAGTAGTAGTGTAGTATCATCATTTCCAGCTGAATCAACGTACAGGGAGGGGGATAGCAACTGTTGACGACTGGTGTTATCGTGCTCTACCATTGTTAGCTGATAGCCAGAGACAACTGGGTGAAACGATTGCATGTACGTATCGGCACGTGGCCCCCACCCCTCGCAAATACTTTTGCCACATATTCGTTGTATGCAGTATACATAATTCAATTGTAGGGCCGATACAGAAACCCCAAGCGGTATAAATGCGGCGGGAGTTTTAATTCTGGAGATATATCTACTCGATATTTTGTGGCATTGTTCGAGCTTTTTATGTGAGTGGCACTCACAGCACGTGTCGGGGCTCAAAAAAATTTTCAACAGATAGTACAATTGTTGGAGTATATAAAATCCGCAATTGTCCTAAGGATTGTCCTCACCTCTTCCACAATCATCAAGGTAATATTTTTTTTTCCTTTTTTCGACGATAAACTGGAGTAAATACGATGGCTGATGTCATTGACTCCACTCCTCTCACGGCTGTGGCACTTAGTTTAATCGTCTAGAAATCCTCTGTATGACGCACATCCGGGGGGAAAGTGACGATGGACCTCTTGTGCGAATCGGAAGAAGGAGAGATAACGATGAACAGTGGAGAAAAATTGTCATGGGGATCTTATGCACACGTTCAGTGCCACTCGTTGCCAATCGGAAACTGGTTGTTTCGACAGCCGCCCTTCCTCTTTGTTAACCCTAAGCATTTCACCCCGACACAATGCGAGGAACGTGTAAATTAAATGCAATTCAGTGTCACATCAGTCTAGCCGGAAGCTCTCTTTCACATTCATTATTCTTTATGCGTCAGAATCAGGGGAGAGTTTTTTCGTTTGGCAGTATCCAAGTGCCTTTTGCAGTTTCATATCGATATGATATATCCCGCCTGACAATTTTCAATCATCAGATTTGTCAATTAATTGATTTTATCACTATTACATTTTCATTTTGTCCTACTCTTCATACTCTTCTAGACCTGTTCGTGCCCCCTCTGATTTCCAATTCAAATGAAAAGTTATGAAATTAACAAATAAATTGTCCTATTGATGCCACTGATTTCACCCCCAACATTTTTACCCTCAATTTTTTAATTTGAAATTGTTTGACAGTCCAATATTGTTCCAATAAAAAAAAGATCAATCAAGAATTTCGCAAAGTAATTACAGTGAATTCAACAATAGGTGAATATCGTCAACACCTCAGGAGTTCCCAAGCAGTGACTCACAGAAATATTTTTATTGATCAAACCAATAATGAGCTTGATAACTTCAGATGACGCAATGGGAAAAAACAAGAATTTTCCAAGACTAATGTTTGGAACGTGTTGGAAAGTACTGAAACAAAAGGCCTTCATTAGGGACTTCATTTCTTCATTAGAATAAACAATTTGCCGTCTGTTTAATTGATCATGAAAAGAGCACAGAAAAAAACGAATTAATGATGAATGAAAATCACACGGGTTGTCAGGAGCAGTGGAGACTTGCAGGTTTCCAGAGTGGACACGTGCCTCAATACACCGTGGGACCGAGTGTACATTCTGTTTGGTGCATTGAACACTAGCAAAAGGTTCGATTATAGTGGCACGCGGCATATTGCGATCATCCTACTTCCCTCACCCCCTTAACAGTAGCTGTGATTCAGTATTTCCACGGGTAACTGACAGTTAAGTAGGGGTGGCTCTGACTGCTGGCCCCATCCACATCATTGAAGTCGTGTTTGAAGAGCAATCCCATCCCCTGTGTATACAACTAGCCCCTGGGAATCTCCTCGAGTGAATTCCAGTGACTTTCAGCAGCTGGGGGAGCTGCATTTTGTCGCAATCAATTGATATAAATCAAATCTTAATTGGACTGTGGGCTCTTTTTTGTTATCTCGGTTATACTTTCTTTTTTATTTTTCATTCCTCGTGTCGATTCATTGAGACACATTGGGATCTGGATACCTGCATCGGTGACAGGTAAATGGGAGAATTCCATTCGTGGCAGGCAGTTCTCTCCCACGTTTTTCTTTTCGGCAGCTCGGGGTAACCCGCATATGACCAGGTGGACCACAATTTTTTGGATTCTGTCGTAGCCTCCGACCCGTATTATTTGATAGAGTTTAATAGAACTCGGCTGAATGATTTTTGAATTATTTGAATGAGTGTGTAATGGGAAATTTAGAAGTTAAATGATTCAATGGAAGTGGATTCACTTTTCGTCCATGGGAAAAAATCGAAAAAACCTGAATTGATGGTCTTGCCTCGTCAACTGGAAAATTGTTTGTGAAATTATCATTATCTCGAAACTCCGGATGCACTCATCATGAATCTGAGGAAAATTAAACATGACTTGATATCAGACATCTAACAAGGTGTGTAAATAATGCACTCCTCTTGTTTTCCTCGGGGAAATTGAGAAGCGATAGACCCAGGAACTTCACGGAATTCGCTGACACCCGTGAAATCATCTACATCAGTATCTTCTACGAGAATTGATGTGTTCACTAGCGTCTGCGACGTGAGTTATCGCAAATACGTCATAAACTAACAATTCCCCACTATTCTCGCAGTAATCTTCATTTTACCTCCTCTGTTAATTTGCATGCAGCCCAGTATGAATAAAGTATCGTAAAACGTAGTTCCAGCATTACGGTGTGTAGAGCGTCACGAAATAACAGTTTGATGGTATCCGTTCAGTAGTACCGGCCTTCCTCCACACGCGCTGTCACACATAAATTTAATCGCATTAGAACTCTGCATTCGAATTATAAGGAGTAATTCAAAGTGAGTAATCAACCTCAGTAACCCTTACTATCAATACGATAGTATTAATAGTATCAATACTCATCGTAACACCTCGAAATTTACGGAGAGAAATTTATCAGTAAATTTATCTTGACACTGTGTTCAAAGAAATATTAATTGAAAATAAATTGGTATAAATATAACGAATTATATAAAGGGTCATAAACTTTTGTTTTGACTATACGTGCGGTACATCCTTAAGAGTCAATAGGCAAGCATTACTCAACAAATTTTCTCCGTGAATTTTCTTCATGACTTTCTTGCACGTCCATTGCAATTACGAATTACGGAGTCCTTCAGCTGAGTAGATCAATTATGGGTATTTATTAATAACCGTACGTATTAATACGTTAAAAATTGTTTATTAAACATAATGACCTTTGTCTCCGACGAAAGGATCCTCTTCAAAAAGCCTTGAACTGTTGAGTTATATAGTTTGGCCCACATTCCAATGAAGGCCCGTTCTCTGGCATCAAGGTCATCAGGAATATTCAAACGTAGATGCAAAAGACAAAGTTCTCCTTATCCATATTCAAAACCGATATTACGTATTGGTGTCAATGAATAATAATATTAAAAACCTAACGATTGCAGATGCTGAACAGTTTGAAGATCTGGGACATACTAAGGACATCTTCTCTGGTGCTGTGCCTGAGCCAATGTGTTGTATCCATATATCGTCCTGTCAGGAACCACACTGGTCTTCCTGATGCCAATACCAACAAATTGCGATTGATTTATTCGTGGAAATCACTGGAATTTGACTATCCGAATGCGATCGCACGCCAGACGGCAGTGGAGAGAGGAGAATTCACGCCTGGTGATCCCGTTCCAATCGATGTAGATGTGATACAAGGTAAGATGCTTCCATTTTTATGATTATCTACTGTGGGTGGAGCAGACAGATGGTCAGTAACTCCTGAGAGAAGGAAAAATTGGTGATGGAAAACAGTTGGAAATTACTCATACGTCTGTGTGATCACAAAGGAAATTGAAAAACGCCTGTAAAACTCGAGGTAAACTGCAGAACTGAGTACCGCTCATCACTTTATCCTCAGGCTTGTTTATCTGATGTCAATACTCGTTAGACGAGATGATTATCCATCAATCATTGTAGTCGCTTCATGACTCCTCAAATGCGAAACTATCACTTTCATTGAGTCGGAAGAATACTTTGCAACGCGACAACTGCTAATTCCTTCATCCAGGCCTTCCGTATTTTTCTTTTGTTATTTTTTTTCTTTAATTCCAGGTAGATCTCCAAAGGTTCTGGTAACGATTCCAAGGTTTCAAGACGGTGTTCCAGTCACTCTTGGCTATGTCACGGACAAGGTATCAGCTGAGGGCAATCCCATCATTGCGCCATACCCCAATTGGGAATGGAACAGACTGGGGAATTGTAATAATATAGTCAGCGTTTATCGAATCAAGGTTAGAATCAATAGTGTTTTATCGTTTCATTTTATTAGTGTTCTCGAATTCGACTTCTTCATATATTCATACGGAGAGAAAAATACTGGAAAAAGTACGTGAAAAGTTCGGTAAAAATTACTGTTTGAAATATAAACGGTGGGCGAACGGCGAAGTCGGAAATAGTATATTACACTTCGAGGAGGTTAATTTTGTTTTTTTACGCGTGTGAGGGGTGTTATCGTACGCGTGAAACACAAAATGACCGTCCGAGTGGCATACATTATTTTATATTTCAGAGTGCAGGAACTGGCTAATCACACGCGGACAGTGCAGCGCGCTGATGTCTAAAAAAATCGGTTTCCTCACAGCGGATAGGTTCCAGGTTCGATTCCTGACTGGGTAGAATGGTGAGGTCTAACTATTTTTGAAGTCTTGATTAATCGTCACCTAGCCATCATACCTCGAATCGATGTAAAATAAGTAGAAAAAAAAGTATGGTTCTACTGACGTAAAATTTACCCGGAATTGAGTAATCTTTACGGAGCGAAGCGAGGTTTTCGGCCACAATAACATAAAATAGGATCATAGATACGACCAAAAAGCCATTCTGACTCATGCGCTTTATAATCCTCACGTTCGGTTTGGATGTCAACCTTGCATCTGGGAAAGGATGGTATTGTTTCCACGACGAGGCTTCAAAACAACTAACACTGACCGTCTCTTATTTTTTACCATGATTTTAAATAAAAATCACTTACTTTTTCCTGTATTTTTCTCTCCGTGCATAAAACATGAAGCAACAGTTTTGTCATAGAATGCAAATAACCTAGGAATATATGATGACGCGGAAATGATGGACGTTTACTGCCACCATTAAATTTTTTATGTCAAACTTTACTTTAGACTTGTAATCTCGAATGTTTTATGGTGCAGATTTCTAAGGTTTCAAGTTTAAGGATGTTTTACATCTCTTCCCCCAAAATTCATGCTTTTTTTCATATAACGTTTTTGCATTTTGTCATTACTTGATAACTCTATGAAACTATGGAGTTTCAAGGTGGTTCAAATATTTTCTTGTGTTTTCTTCTAAAATTTTAAATAGAATCACGAAACTGTAAAAAAAATACATGAAAATGATTGCACCCCCACGAAACTTTATAGGTCATTAAATAATGACAAAATGTAAAAACATTGCACTTTTCACATCAACTCCATCTATAATTTGCCAAGAATCCAAAAGAAACGGACATTTTAGCTGAAAGGGTGTTAAAAATTCTTCAATAGGAATTTGACGAATCCAATAAAAACTTCAAGTTAATGTGGAAAAATCTGGAGCTATTTGGGAGTATCAAGTTGAGATTTTTGGAACTCAAACTGAGATTTAGAAAAGCTTCACGTCGAATCTTTGGAAAATCTCTCGTCAAAAATTTTAATACAAAATTTCATTTGTTGAATACAATAGTTTTCCATTATTCAAAAATAAAAACTGTAGCCTTCTAGCACTTTTAGCGTCACTCGGAGTTCAGGAACCTGACGCATTTGGAATTTGAACTCTGATACATCACATCGATGACTATGTAAATTTATTGATACATTCGAATGTTTGGGTCCGCGATTGTAAATTAAAACATGTAAAAGACAATGTGCTGGACTAAAAATTCATCAGAAAAATATATTCATAAAGAAATAACACAAAATCAATCAACTAATTAATAATGGCGAATAAATGAAGCCACACTTATGATTCAGGTTGACGAGTGCGGTAGACTCTGGGTTTTGGACAACGGAAAATTGAAAGAATCTCAGATTTGTTCTCCCAAACTCCTTGTCTTCAACACCAGAACTGGCTACTTGATTTCTCTCTACCGATTCCCAGATCATCAGATTTTGCCTGATTCTCTGTTCATAACGCCAGTAGTGGATGTCCGAGATGCCAACGAACAATGTCTCAACACTTTTGTCTACATAGCCGACGTCACTGGATTCCAGCTGATTGTCTACGATCATCAACGCCAAAGATCCTGGAACATTCAGAACGACCTGTTCCTTGTTGATCCCGATAATACTACCTTCACCATCGCTGGACAAAGTTTCGAGATGCCCGACGGATTGTTCGGTCTTGCATTAAGTCCTATTCTCCCAAACGGAGATAGAATCTTGTACTTCCATTCTTTAGCTAGTATCGTTGAGAGCTGGGTGTTGACTTCCGTTATCAGGGACCCTTATCCTTTCAATTATAATCCACGGGCTATGGCCAGGTTTTTCCACTCTTTTCGCAAGACCAGACCCTCTCAATCTGGAGCTCAAGCCATGGACAAGAACGGTGTACTATTTTATGGATTGATGTCGGAAATTGCTCTTGGTTGCTGGAATTGGCGGAACGAGTTCGGTGGAGACAATTTGAGCATCGCAGTCGTCAACAAAGAAACTCTTCAGTTCGTATCAGGACTTAAGGTAAATCATTTATTTTCGTCTAAAACTTTCTTGTTCAAAGTTAGTCCAAGTTGTACAGAAAAAGGAATCCTTGCAACGAAAGAAAACAATAAAGCACGCAAGATTTCTTGAAAGAAGATGTTTTCCCTTAAGAAGGTTTATGTTATGTTTCGATATTTATGTTAAAACAATAATAAGGATGGAGTTTGCATATTCATATTCAACTATCTACAAAATGTATTACGAACTAGACCATTCCAGCCATGACCCTCTAGATGGAAATTCTATAATTTATTGATTTCATTACAGGTTATGGGAATGGGCCAACGTGGGCAGGAAGTCTGGGTGTTGACGAGTGCCTTCCAAAAGGTCATGAATGGGTTGAACCCTAACGAGACTAATTTCCGAATTCAAGCTGGTTTTGTCGATGAACTTGTGCGTGGAACGAAGTGCCGCAGTAAATAAAAATCCAATATAGGTTTAGACCATTGACAGCAGTATAAATAATGGTCAAATCATTGCCATTCTTCATTGTTTGCTCAAACTCCCGGAAATTTGTACATCTGATTATTTCGGTACAAATTCCCCCAAATCGCATTGAGCAAGTTTCCAAAATAATAAAATTCCTCCATTCCGGGACTTTCCCAACTATTCCACAAAAATTCCAATACAGAATACGATTGCAGCAACCATCTGCAAAAATCCGCAAAGCAATCTCCATACGGGGCAATGCGATAGTTTTCCCGTAACGAGCATCGATGCTCGTGAATCTCGTGCGTGAGCCAACAAAAATATTTACATCTACAAATATAGAGCCTCAGCCATCGATTTCGCAAGCAAAACAAAACCTCCAGGGCTGCCTAAGATTGATAAATCGTGCAACTGCATTTTCTTTGTCTCCTCTATTTCAATAATAAAAAACAACTGAACAAATAAAATAAATCGTAACTAAGATCGGAAATTATTAATAATCCTTTTAATGAGTGACCATGAAAGATTTAGGACCTTATTATTATCCCAAGCCCAGCCCCTCATTACCGTCATGCATTATTCCTCAGTATTTCTATTATCCTTCCAGCGGCATTCCAACTATTACATCCACCTTGCATGCACTTACAATTTATATTCCCCACCCGTTCACATCAATTACTCATGCATTTTTTCCCCCGAAATGACCGCGGACTATTCCGCCAAAATAAAAAGACCTCATGGCGCCTTAGGTGCCAACGCATGCGCAGATTTACGAAAAAAAGAGGGGAATCCCAGAATAGCGCGCACGCGCCTCTGCTATCTCATCGTCTCAGCAACGTCTGTAATGCATTATCTCACCTACACAATGAGATTTAAGTACGGATAGAGGTGCAATGAGAGAAAATCATGCGGTTGTGAAAAATCATGAACACGTGTGTGGTATCCAGATGCACGTACCTACATTCTACCATTACCAATGACCCACGAGAAATAAATGTACACAATGGAGCGATGGTGGCCATCGGTATTGCCCAGTGGCGAAACATGAAATAGTGAGGGGGGTGACGCTAAGAGGAGAAATAGGATGCGTTATATTTTATCGGTTGGGCATTATCTCTTACCGATGGAGCGTACACGCGCTACGGAGACTTGATAAAACGTGAGATATACCCGTGTCTGAGATCGGTATTACTGATATTGGAAACCTGATGGGTACAGGTTGATCTCGTCCCCGAGTTGAAATTCTCGAGGGAACGGGTTTATTATTTATTTTATGCTGCCAATTGTTGGGGATTCGAGGTTATTAACAGCTGACCCATAACGTCTCGGGACATTTTGATATCGAGAAAATCTCAAAATCACTTCAACTAAATAGAAAATCTCGAAATCGGTATGTCATTGTACTCACAATATTTATGTACTTTCCTTCCATAAGTAAAAGATGCGTGAGTGTAACTAGCCTTCTTTCTATGAAGCATACATATTGCATACTCATTGGAAAGTTTAATAAGTAAATTTCAAAATGACACCTGATTTATCCATTTCTAATGATTTTTCATTACCTTATGATAGTTTTGGGTGAAAATTTGATTTTTGTGTTTAAAGTCAAAAATTAACAATGGCTGAATTTTTCCATGCTTTTCAATGGGTCAGGCAAAGATATATTCATATATTATTTTGATGAACACTTACTGCTGTTCAACATGGTGTATGAAAAATGTAACCTAACGGAATTTTCATCAAATTATAGCAAATTGTTTTTCTTTTTTACGTTGTCAAACCCAAAAATGATGGTTTTTGCAACTGAGCAAGGCTTGACGCTACACTAGCGCGGGTATATTACATGTCAATTTAAAGGTCTCGATGACATGACCTACAATAAAGAATAAAAATAAAAGATATCGGAATTTTGAACATGACGTATTCAATTCTATATGCGACCTGGCTATAGGCCGCACGTCCCGCCTAGTCGTTGAAAAAGAGCATGTACCGTTTTTTTTATTTAATACCGCCCTTTACATAAACGCTCGTCGAGAGATTCACAATGAGTAAAGGTAATACTGAATGAAACTTGGAAAAACGACTAGTACTCGTGTAGGAGTTTGTCGATGACGTGTATGACGATGAAAAGGCACCGGGAAAATGAGTTGGAGGATATTCGGTTGTACACAAATCGACGACATGCTAGTGGGCGTTGAGGGAAGATTCAAGAGTGGTAACAATTTTATGAACCACTTTGAAGACATACAACACCCACATATTACTCTATTTCTAAATCCACGAAGTGGGAAAAAAAATTGATACACGATGGTTATTGAGACAGAGTTATTTTACAATTTAATTTATAACTTGTTCTAGGCATTTCGAGAGGAATAAAAATATGTTCATGTTTCCGGTGCGTTGTGTATCGCATTGCGCATAACGAGGGAATTCGTTCAGCCCGAGAATTTATTTGATTCGCTTTTTTCCCAAGGCATTAGTTTTATTTTCAATGTAAAGTATTGTTTTTTTTTATTATAGAATAATTGCGAGGTGCAAGAGAATCGATCGACCCCCAATGTAGGATACGGAGTGGATATACATCCGTTGGTTACTATTACTATTTGCAGAGTCGGTAATTTATTCAATTATCGATCAACTTTTCTGATAAAGCCTGAGTGCGGATTATGTTTCTATTGCAGTGGTGTTGGGTTCAAACTAGAGGTTCGGAGCGAAGTGCCCGGCAATTTGACATAATGTATTAGCCACGATTGTAAACCATTGTGATTTGTTTTTTTTTTATCAGTGAGTGGCAGTAATGCTTCGTATTACGGGTTAATTTTGGACTCAATGAAATTAGAAAAAAGTTTATTGACAAAATTATTTTATTTGAGTTTATTTCCTCATTCTACATGAAAAATTTGAAAAATCTAAACAATGCAAGTTTCATTTTGATAGCTGGGATATTAAATTGATAGCTTGCAAAAATGAGAAATTTTCAGTAATGATTGCAAATAAATTCTCAATGTTTTGAGGTTCAAGTTGATTTAAGATTGAAACAATTAGGCTTTCCAATCGCGTCATGGAAATTAAATTTTCAATTCGATTACATTCCCAATAGTGTCAGAATTCAGGGAAATAATTACCTGAATTACCATTTTGTTCACCCATTTTCATGATCATATGAACCAAAAAATGAGAATTTCATTAAGAATTCGAAGAAATTATCTGATTTTCAGTTTTAAAAAATGAAATAGAATTCGCATGAACTGTAGAGTTGTTTTTCTACTTGAAATTTCCGTAGGATTTTTGAAAAATTGGAAAATTTCCCACCACGAAATGGGAAGAATGAAGGATTGCAATGAATCACCAAGGTGTTGGAAACACCTATCCGCAATTAGGAATGACTAGTCATGACCCGACAGACTCACAATTTTTTTCCCCTCAAAATAGGCAAATATCGCTTTTTCGAATCGCCGCCTAATAGACAAAGTGAATGTTCTCCCGTGATAGGTAATAATAAATTTAATTATCAAAGGCTGCACTCTTGCGCCGGGTCATGCTCGAAAGGACAAGCGCGGCGTATGTTTGTTAGGCGGCATTAAAACTTCATACCAAACAATCACTTTACGTGAAAGTATGAAAATCATTCCACACATACTCGAGATAATGTTCGGTTCATTTGCGTACGATTTTTACATCTCCACGGGGTATCATTACGACGGTATAAAAATAATATTGAAAAATAGGTGAGGAAAGAATATTTGTAATGACAAAAACAAATGTTTCTCGGTGGTATTTACCAGCTGATAATTGAATAACACGTGATATTTCACATGTATCCCAGTGTAATATTTTCACGCAAATTCGTATCAATGATTTCACCGTTTGGAAATTGCCTGCAATCGCCTTGGGTTGTAATACGTTAGGAAATTCCGCACAATGATATCTAATAACTCAAACCGGGAGAACAAAAGTGAAGAGTATGGGGTTAAAAAATTGTGGGAAAAAATTGGATAAATTTACACTACAGATCCAATTGGTTTTTCGCGTTGTCGGTAGAAAGGCGCGTGGTTTAATGCGGGTGTACATACGTTCATTGGAGGTGCGTGTCGTAAGATGGAGAATAATGGCTGAATAGTTGGTCAGTGCTGGTGATTTTATATGACGAGAAAATATTTCGTTCCATGTACACGCCATTGTACAAAAAATCCTTCAAAATGTCCATTGAATTTTTTTCATATTCATGCTCTCCAAATTGACAGCATGAATTGCTCTTTTTCGACCATTTATTTTGCCCCAGTTTATGAAAGACAATGTGAAAAAAGTCTCATCTACTATTTTTTATCACCTGTCGAAACTTGATGAGTCAACGGCTCTGTATTTTTTTTTCGAAAAAAAACCGTTGAAGATTCTTGACTCCAGCTTCAATACACTTCTGTGAAATTTTGAATTTAAAGTAATTTTTTTTACATTTATTAATATTTTGTCAGTGACTATGCAAAATTTCATGAAATAATAAATGGACTATTCAAATAAAGACATCCTTGTATTGTCTATTGATCGGAAATTCAATGTAATTTCATACTGAATGATTCGATTTTTTTGGAAATTACAAGAAATTTTGAGAATTCTCGTTTTCTTCTAGTTCAAAAATCGAGTTTCTCTAAAATAATCATTGAAACGCAAAATGTCGTAATTCCTCCCTCAAAAACGATAAATTTGAAAATTGAATCAAATTGCACGGAGATAAAAGTTCAATAACAATTAACCACAAAAAAAGTAAAATTTACAAAATTTTACATCGAAATTCTTGAACATAATTACTGAGAGTACTTGGTATGAGTGTTCAAAGATTCATGGTTAGCCCATGGCTGTGTTAGTCCATATTAGTATTTTATAATTTTTCTTAGAAGAGCATCAGGATAAGGAGAACAATTTATATAAACAGGAATAAAAAGAGATGAATAAATAAGAGCTTTTTCTCAAATGGGTCCACAGCATAAAAATTTTGGTTGCCATGAGTCAGATGAGCAGGAGAGGTCATCACAGAATGATATATCTTCTCAGTGCGTTTAATAAAAGTTAAAGTCTAAACTAATTCCATTTTTATTATTTACTAATTCCTGTCCATAATCCAATAACAATTATCTGTGAACATTAATATCTAATTGTTATAATGAGATTTGCGATCGAAGGTCACAGACGATTGGGGTGATACCCTGGTTACCAAGTGCAATTGATTACCCGTGATTAATGACTCCCAATGATTTCCCCGATTACACTCGATGATTACCAGGCCCCTATCATCGTAGGAATGTAAAAAAGAACGCTTCTATTTGGAAGAAAAAAATTTCAGTTACATATTATTTTCAAATATAATTTAATGAAAATTACCAGAAGCTGCAAGGTAATAAGAAAAATGGGGAGTGGTTACGACAATAAAATGGTGTCACCATCACATGGTAAGTTACACTGACTAAAAATGATGACGAATAGCCCTT